TGTGTGGTGTGTGTGTGTGTGTGGTGTGTTGTGTGTGTGTGTGAAAATGAGGTATTGAGAGACCAGCAGAAAATTCTAGTATGTCCTACCAATATTAATATATTAATTTTGTTTATTTTATATCAGTAGCCAGTATTTCTATTCTCTTCCTTATATCTTGTCATCTTTGTTATTTTAGAGACCCTCCATGTTGGATGTTCCAGCTCTGCTGCTGACCACTCTGGAGGAGCTCACTGAAGAACAGCTGAAGACATTTCAGTCTGACCTGACTAGTGTCCAGCTGGATGGCTTTCCTCCCATCCCAGAGAACCAGCTGGAAAACGCTGACAGACAGGGCACAGTGGATCAGATGGTGGAGAGATACGACCCTGAGGCAGCTGTGGAGATCACACTGATGATCCTGAAGAGGATGGACCAGAATGATCTCACTAAGAAGTTACAGAGAGATCACAGAGGTAAAACAACAAGACCAATGAATCTGTTCTTTAAATTTCAGTTCCTTGTTTATACATTGAGTAAGTGAATCATCATCTTTCCTTCACACGAGAACAATTAGCTGACAAATTTGAAAATATAATGTCTGCAAATGTCGCGACACCATGAACAACTGTAGAAAAAATATAGACTGTTAAAAAATCATAACTGTACAGCTAAATCATTTCTGGACAGAAAGATAATCCCAATGTACCTTTTTTGACCAGAGATCCGCTAATGAATCCTCAGCCTGCTGAGTTGAAGGGGAGGAGACAGGTCAAAGAAGGATTGTTAATCTTGAGACAATTGAGACATGGATTGTGTATGTGTGCCATTCAGAGGGTGAATGGGCAAGACAAAATATTTAAGTGCCTTTGAACGAGGTATGGTAGTATGTGCCAGGCACACCGGTTTGTGTCAAGAACTGCAACGCTGCTGGGTTTTTCACACTCAACAGTTTCCCGTGTGTATCAAGAACAGTCCACCACCCAAAGGACATCAAACCAACTTGACACAATTGGGAAGCATTGGAGTCAACAAGGGCCAGCATCCCTGTGGAACGCTTTCAACACGTTGTAGAGTCCATGCCCTACGAATTGAGGCTGTTCTGAGGGCAAAAGGAGGGAGGGGTGCAACTCAACATTAGTAAGGTGTTTTCTCTCTCTCTCTCTCTCCTACAGGAAAGAAAAAGGAAAGAAGTGAGTCTCCACTGACCTCACCTTCGCTCATGCCATCCTGGCCTGATCATGCTTCTGGTTACAAAGCGATTGAGGAGGATTGTGTCCGACTGATTGGCAGTTCTTCTAGTGCCATGTGGATGGAGGCATCAGGCAGCAAAGACACTGGAATCCAACAGGACAAAGATGAACTGTTCACGGTGAGGAGGAGAGGAGGAGAGGGGATGGAGACAGAAGAACAGAAAACAGGTCAACTTGACATAGAAACAATCTTCTATATTAACAATATTTTCTATCTATTCTGTTGATTTGAATCTAGGAAACCCCAAAGCTGTCAGATCTAGATCCAGAGAGGGGACTGGAGATGGCTAACAGTCTCAACACACAGGTAGCTGTGAACACCCAGGAGAACACCCAGAGGATGGACGAGGAGTTGGGAAGAGAAAGGGGTATGACGAATTTGGTCAAAAATCTTTGATCTGTTGTAATGGCCAGGTATATATGATTTGATTAATGTGGTATTTCGTTTCCTGACACAAGAACAAGCCAGTTGATGAGAAAACTGTTGTCTGTCTAGACAGAAAAAGATTGAAGTCAGATTTTGCAATAAAAAAATTACATAGTTCCTGCATTTTGCCATTGTTGGGCACAGCTAACATCTTTATCTGGAACAATGATGAAGTTAAAGTTGTATAGAAAACATGATGATTGATCTTTATTTGGTTCTCTTAGATTCTCCTCTCCTCCTGGAACAACATCACATGGTAAGACCCTCACTGGACTGAGAGAAAGACTGAAAGAGAGAAAATTTGGGTTATCGAATGGACATGGAAAGTTTCAAGTTGGTAACATATGGTTGAAACCTTTATTAGGACTTTGCTTGTGGAAGCCAGATGAGACAAAATGGCATCCCTTGAGAGGGCAAGAACAAGATGTATGTCAGGAGATGTGGAGTATCATAAGGAGATGTATACTGGGAATACGGAGGAGGAATGGAGGGAAAAAGAGAGGCAGAGGAGGTCGAAGAGAGAGAGGGAGGAAGAGGGTGAGATTGAATCAGGAGAAGATGGCGGAAAAAAAGGGAGATGGTTTGTCAAAGAAGAATGGTGGAAAGTGTAAACAGAGTGAGCTGTAAGCCGGATCGAAGACAGGAGGAGAAATGGAAGTGAATGAAGGTGAATTATCAGAGGTGGCAGGTGTGGTGAAGTCCTCGGAGCCCGATGCACCGATGGCCAGGATAAAGATGAGTCTGTGATGGTAGGAGTGACATTTTGGAGAAAGTGGTGGCGTGAGTAGAGAAACAGAAGAGTCATTGTCTGGTCTTTTGAGTTTTGACGTTGAGTCTTTGCCCGACAAAGTGAAGTTAGGATATTTCAGTTATCCTGTACGAGCTTGTGTGCTGAATATATTACGTTATGACAGGTGTCAAGCTTATGGACATGTGGCAGCAGTGTGGAGGAGGGAGGTTCCTAGGTGTGAGAAGTGTGCAGAAGGGTATGAGACAAAATAATGTGTAGTATTGGTGAAAGAAGTGGTATGTTGTAGGTGTGCCCATGGGGCTGGGGATCAGAAATGTCTGGTGCGAGAGAGGCAGGTTGAGGTTGCCAGAGATAGAGTAGAGCAAAGGGTGTCGTATGTTGTTTGTTTTTTTTTTATCTTCACACTATTGGTTGAATTACAGTATCTATTGTTTCTACATTTTAGAGTTCTCCAGATGAATTTACACCTGAAATCCATGATCAGGACAACAGGGGAGAATACCGGTAACTTTAAATATTTAATGTTTCTTATTGGTAGTTTGTATAAAAGAAGGACAATACCTTAAATCCAGAAAATCTCACAAAATGAAATCCTTCATTGTTTGTTCTACAGGTTCCAGTGCCCCAGTGCAGGTCTGTTCCAGTGCAG